AAGCTAAGCAGAAATTATATTCATCAAACATGAAAATAACTGCCTACACCAAAATATCTTCCCATAAGAACTTAAAATAGGTTTATATAAGATCTTTGACAAAAGCTATTATTTTAGTCACTTTGAAAAATTTGTAATTTAATTAAAAAGGAATTAAAGCTTAAGTATAATGTAGTATTTACTAAGTTAACCACACTTAGTTTAAGAAATTCACCCCCAGGTTTAATTTTTTTTAAAAAAAGTTTTAAAGTAAAAATCTGCCTTTTTATAAGCTAAATTCAAAGCAAGGGCTTTGAAATCCAAGAAGCACTGCTGATAATTATCCACAACCACAAAAAAATAAAAATAAATAAAAACAAAAAAGACATGTCATCATGTCATCTACCTTCCAGCAGCCTCAATACACTGTGGCTCCAAAGGCAACTCAAATATCCTTAGAACAGTGCCCTTACAAGAAACAAGCTTCATCATATGCCATCAAGTTCTCCCTGATCTTAATCAGATATGAAGAAGACTTACATTCATGTGGATGTAAAGATCAAACAGACTGTGAAGAAACTGTAGGATACTAGCGTAGCTAGATGGAGACAAGGCATGTGTTCATCCAGCTCCTATGATGTTTTGAATATCACCATCAAAATTGAGTCCAGCTAATTCTAAATATTAATATTTTTAACATATTTTAAAAATTTACCAAACTACAATCCTTACATGAGATGCCACGTTAAGTAAAAGAACTTAGCAGACAACCGAATACTCCAAAGCTGCCATATAAGAAATCACAACAGAATACTCCAAAGCTGCCATATAAGAAGTCCAACTACTCTATTACTACACATTTTGAAGATGACATTTACATAGAAGAGCTAGTTACCTACAGGAGGTTATCAGATATCAGAACTAAATGTAAAGAAGGGTAAAGGACAGTGGCAGAAAGAGACTGGTATATACACACACACACACACACACACACACACACACACACACACACACACACACACGGTGGGGGGGGACTGCTTTAAAAAGTACACTAAGAAAAACGGAGTCAGTAATTTCGCTGCCAGAGCAAATAGTGACAAATATGAAAAAAAGCAGAAGAATGAATCCATGATATTAGATTAGAATTGAAAGTATCAGTATGGATTAATGTCTTTTAACATAAAAATACAAATATAGGTCTATATACACACATACATATTTCCCTGTCTACAGTGCAGGCCTAGAACAGCAAAATCCCAACAGTAGTGAGCACTGCTAGCTCCCAGATCTTGGCTTGTAAACACCATTCTCTATTAGCAGGAACCAAGGATCCTAGTACCTTCCCACAAAATATAAATTACCAAGGGTAAGGCCAGATATGTAGCTCTGTGGTTGAGCACTTACCCTCATGTGTGCAAGAGGTTCAATCCCCAGCACCACAAATAAATAAATAACCAAAGAGAAAAGAATGACTCTACAGTGGGTAAGTGTGCCCCTAAAGATGTCCATATCCTAATACCAGGAACCATTAAATACACATTATCTTCAATGGCCAAATAGACTTTACAGAAGTGACTGCATTAACAATCTGGAAATAGGGAGATTATCCTAATGAAACCAATATAATTCCTGGGATACTTCTAGGGGGAAGCAGGAAGGTCAAAGACAGAAAAGGTGATATAAAGGAAACAGAGATTGGAGTGATGATGCCCTTTTGAAGATGAGGAAGATGACATAAGCCCAGGAACACAGGCTGTCTCTAAAAAAGGAAAAGTCAAGGAAACAAACTACCTCAAATCCTCCAAAAAGGAACCAGCCCTGCCAACAACACAACTCATGTTGATTTTGGACTCCTGGCATTAAGAATTGTAAGAGAAAGGCTGGGATACAGCTCAATTGGTAGAGTGCTTGCTTGCCTTGCATGCACAAGGCCCTGGGTTCAATCCCCAGCATGCGAGCAAGCGCGCGCACACACACACACACACACATATACACAAAATAATAATAATAACAGTAGGAGTAGTAGTAAGAGAACAAACTTGTTTTAAGTCACTAAGTTTGCAGTAATTTATTACAGTAGCAGCAGCAGGAAACTAATACAGAAAACCTGACAGACACCATCTTAAGTGATCAGTGAACTATTCTAATGAAAGGACAAATTGAAATCCTACGCCAACTGACAGAATGCAATGAGAACACAGACTGTTTTGTGAAATTCCTGGCCTAACATAAAATCTGAATCTAATAATGAAAAAACACCAGATAATCCAAATTAAAGTTCATTCTACTAAGTAACTGACCTGTAATATTTAAAGTCAAGCAAAGATTAAAGGACTATTTCAGACTAAGGGAAACTAAAGAAACATGTCAACTAAATGTTACATGTGATTCTGAACTGGATCTCTTGCTACAAAGAACATCACAGAAGTGTCAAAACCTTAATGAGGTCTGACAATGAGATCTCAGTAATATTAAATTTTCTGACTTTTCATGATTAAATTATAAACACTTTTGAAAATACACCACTGATTTTTTTCAATCACCTCAATAAATTAAGCCTTATAGTCTCACATTTTCAAATATCAAATCAAGGAAACATTTGATAAGGTTTTATAAGAACCAGCTAAAGTCTCTTTATTAACCAGACAGCTTGATCTATTCAAAGGAATGATGTTCTTCTAATGTCTCTGACCAAGAAAAAGTACACGATTTTCAGCCCCTATATTCTTGCACAATGTGTACTTGCACCTGTATGCCACACTCTTTCAACCTAAAAACTAACTCTTAATCTTTTTAATATTTAAATCAGTCAACAAGCACTACAAGCCAAGAATAATGGCACACACCTGTAATCCCAGGTACCCAGGAGGCTGAGGCAAGAGGATCGAAAGTTTGAAGCCAGCCTCAGCAGCTTAGTGAGACCCTATCTCAAAATAAAAAAAGAGCTAGGGATGTATTCAGTAGTAGAATGCCTCTGGATTCAATCCCCAGCACTAAAATAAAAAATAACAAAAACCTACTACAGGTTATGATTTATATATTACCATTTAGATTTCCAACACAACTAAATATTCACAATACATATCCCAACATAACTAAATATTCATAATACATATTCCAAATCTTTGTATAATACCCTCAAGTTAAAGGATCTATCACAACTATCACAAGTCCTTACTGATGATTTTTTAATAAGACAGAAGTATAAAAATAAGTTAATTAATCAACTTCTAATTTTATAACTTCTAGTTTATAACTTCGTTTCAGAGCAACTCAAAATTATGTTAGGAATATCATTAATTGTTTTTGAGTTTTTGTTTCTTTAATTTTTTTTAATTATAGATGGACACAGTACCTTTATTTTATTTTATTTATTTATTTTTATGTGGTGCTGAGGATCGAACCCAGTGACTCACACGTGCTGCGCAAACACTCTACCACTGAGCCACAACCCCAGCCCCTCATTAATGTTTGATACAGTTTTAAAAGAAACTATTCACATGTAGAAAAGGTAAATTCCAAAGTCATAAATTAATTTTGTGACTTAAAATATTATAAAAAATATATCATGACTGCTGTCAGCAGCATAACTTTAGTAAAGCTACAGGGATAGTAAAAGGTTTGGGAGAGGTGACTGCAGCTGTACTTCAAAAGCTCCACAGTGCCTTGTTAAAATAGTCATATCTGTCTATGCCAGGGTGATCTGCCAATCTGCAGTATAACTGAGTGAACTCTTAGCACCATATTCATAGAACCCGAAGAGCTTAAAGAATATTACCCAAAGTGAGGTTTTCATACCTGTTTGCCTGATTATCACAAAAGAAAAATCTTTTAACTTTTAGATTTCTAATTTAACATCTAAATTTAAGAGTTGCAAAGGATGTCATCACATAAAGTTGACATCTCAAAATAAACAGTTCTATCCACTTTTAAATGTTTCCAATGAAATCTAAAAACCAATACCAATATCATACCTTTTATCATCATTCACTTATAAAAATTAATAAACAAGTTCTTCATTTTACTTCCCCCACACAGTTTTATCCTAATGTAATGTATTTTTTAACCTGGTAAAAGTCACTTCTCATATGGTAAAACATACTTATTAAATTTATTTTTTTATTCTCTGTGAGTATAAAGTATTTTCCCAACTTTGTTTTGAAAATGTTCAAGCCACCAGAAAAGTTTTAAAAATATTAAAATGAACAATTCCCTTCACCTAAATTCATCAACTGCTAACATCTTGTAACTCTAGGCTCCTCTATTTCTTTCTTCCCCGATCCCCTCCTCTTTACCTGAACAATTTTAGAATAAGTTGCAAACATAACTGCAGACTTTACCTCTAAATGTTTTGTCATATGTCAAAGAACAGTGGTAAATTCTATCATACTCAAATTTAACACTCAGAAAGTTTTACGTTAAATTTTATATCATATTTTTGGTGTTATCATACAATACCAATATTGTAAATTGATAAATTATTAAAATAAAATGTAAAATGTCATG